TGCTGTTTGTTTTAGAGTTTTCATATTTTATATCAGCTATTTTCATTTTCTGTATTGGCTGGCTTCACTTTGGCCTGCAGTCACCAAGAGCAGGCCAAATGTAAGATATGTTCTGATTAAAATTGTGCTGGGAAGTTTCCCACCCAAAAAAACAAACCTTGGACAGAGGTGGTGGAAACTCTAAAGATTTCATCTGCTTAGAGCTTCCAATATTTTTCTCTAAAGCTGTCCATCGTGACACTGACCCTTGAAAGGCTGCCCATGATTTTGATAAATATGCCAGAGAGAGAATTGCATTCAATTGCATTATTATTTAAAACTTCAAGGAGTTACTCTGTCCTTGTTGCAGAGAAATTCTTCCACAGATGCTTCTCTGGAGAGGGAAATACCAGACCCTTCCTCACAGTGGAAAATACCAAGTTCTTGGCGCCTGCTTTTTGGCAGTGGTCTTCCACCTGCACTCTTCTGAGCTGTTTGGATTTCTTCAGTAAGTCACACCAGTATAGTGTCAATCATCCCATGAAAAGCTGATTGTATGCTAATTGCCAAGCGACAGCAGCCTGATTTGTGATGTAAACACATTCTTAGGGAAAACTTCTTTTACCCCTGCTAACTATTGAAATAACAGTAACCTTCAGAAATTGAACAAAGAAATAGGTTTGACGTAGTTGTTTATTGAAGTTTTTTTTTTTTTCTTTTTAAATAAAATATTTTCAAAACCCTTTTTGTTTGGTTAAAGTATTACTGCAGTAGAAAAGCTCACAGTGTCTCTCTTAGCATGGCTGGGAACTTGATTGACGTGCAGTTTTTTAAATTTTGTAGAAAGATAAAAGCCCACTCTTATAAGTCAATTGTGGATCTCTCTTCCAAAACCTTCCTGCTGATGTCAGTATAGCTCAGTAGTGATCCTTCTGCCTTCTTTTCCCAATGTTGCCACAGTAGCTTCAGCTGGGGAGACTGCGAGTGGCAGAGTAGCACGTGCTGTGTTTTCTGATGTTCCTGATAACAGTTTCCACTCTTCTTCCGGGGACTGCAGAAACATTACAACAAAAGCTTGTGAGGTAGGCAAGCTTTCTTAGACTGCTTTGAGAATGTATACAGTGTCCTGAAATACGAAGAAAGTAAAATGCTGTCCTGAAAGCAAGCAGCCTGGAGCCTATATGTTATAGTGTAGTCTGAAATACCAGTTTTGTTCACTGTTTCATGTTTGCAGTGGGACTTGTTGCATTACTAAGCTACATATTTGGTTTTGATCCTTTTATTTCTTTTGGCTTGTGGTCTTGTCAGTGTTTTACAAGAAACCTGAATGGAAGTACAAACCATTTTGCAGCATTTACATAGAACTCATGACAGAGGTATTTCATACCTGCAAACACTGTTTATTCAACTCTTGCATAGTTAGAAAAGGATCAATGTCCTAAATACTCTGCTGCTGAACTTGCAGGATATGCAGCGGCACCTTTCAGAGAGCTCTTTGTCTACTGCTCATAGTGCTCATGTGCTCTAAACTCCCAGCTCGTGGGAGTTTAGAGCACAGATGCACTGGACGTGCTTAATGAGACTTTTCCAACCATCATTAAATACTGGTATGGGAAAGGAACAACAAGTGCAAGCTTTTACAGTTTTCTGGTTTCCTTAGTTGTTATTTTTTAAATAAGAGGACTGCATAAGCTTTATTTAGTTGGATCTGTTTAACTGCTGCTTTTCCTTTAGGATCAAATTAACGACTTCATTTTGACCCAATTCTGAAGTGCCATAATTCCAGCATCTGTGAGCTTCAGCCACACTATACCAAACTTTGGAAATGTCTCTGCTCCCCACAGCCTGGGCTTCTATCTGATGCTTAGCATTCCAGCCAGGGGGCAGTCCATGTGTTGCACACTGGGAGTTCTGTGGAAAGTTTTGGTGTTTGAGGAACTTGCTCCGTGCAGATAGCTCTGAGGCTCCCTGCAGCTGCTGGAGGCAGGCATCAGCTTTGTTTGAGGTCCAGAATATATTATATAGATAGAAAGCATACAAATACTAAAAACAACCCTTGAAATACTCACGTCAGCTTCTGTGTTTTTAAGAAGACACAAATAATCTGAAGGATAAGCCTAACTTGGGTGACAAGCAATTGGTGCTTGGGTATCTTCAGAAAGCTCAGCAAACAGGGAATGATGATATCAAATAGTTGCAGTAATCAGGATGCAGCATGATATATGCTGAGTGGTACCTGGGATGCAGCATTTCAGCAGCTGGTGTACTGCAGAGCTCTCTCCATCAGTTAACAGCTGGAATAAATCACATTCCAAGCCCCAATTGTTTTGCTTTAAAGCAAGGGGAAACAGTAATTAAAAAGCCTCAGTGTGCCTGCTGAGCATGGGTCCAGCAGCCGCTTTGAGCCTCCAACTGGAAACCCATTTTGCCTTTGCCTCAAGAAGCAGCCCATCCTATTTTTGCCTTCATGTTTCACAGCAGAACTTGAGAGCCCTGCACAGAGAAGTGAGGCATGTGCTGGGACTTCCTGAGCCTGTGTCTTCACACTGCTGCTGTCACAGTGCAGCCCATCTGTTTGGGAACTGTTCTCAGTTCCCTGTGCTCGGTGAGGCAGCCCCATGACCCACTCAGCTGAGAGAGCGACTTTTAAAGCCCTGAAGAGCAGTTTGAGAATTGAGTCACTGTGGGACGAGGGCCAAAGTATGCTCAGAGCACACCACGAAGTACAAGATATTGCCTATTAGACAGCTATCAGAGATAGCAGCAGGTGAAATACAGCAGTGTGTACACGTGCTGCCCATCACCAAATGTATTACAACTCAGTTCAGAGAGGGCGAAAATAATGAAAATGTAAATCTCAATTTAGAAGTCACAAATTGCTGAGAGCTGTATCCAAAGATGCAGACAGCACTACAAGCAGGCTCCACTCCTGCATTCTGCAGCAATGAGGTTTGCTGCAGCATAGGCCAGACCTCTGTCCTTCACTAGAAGTAGGCATAGCCACACCAACTTCAAAACGAAGCTGAATGTAACTGTGACAAACCCAGTGCTCGTGACTATTTCAAGGCGGTGCTGAGCACTTACTTGGCTTAAATAACTGCTTGAAGTACTCCCCTGTTCAGCTATGTACTGAAGTTAAACACAACTCTTTCATCAGTCAGCCTCAAACCCAAGTTAGGATTTCAGGTTGTGTATTCTAGCAGAAATACTGTCCCATATTCTTGTGCCAAGTAGCTTTCTTCTCCCTACTTTCAGGGACTTAAGGGCTTATACAAAAATCCTGTTGCAGAAATATGTGAAGTGCAAATCACATATAAAACCTCCCACCACACAGTAGTTTAGACATGCATAAAATACAGCTTTTCAGTGAATGAAGGTTTATCTGAAACTACCAGAGCTCCCACGAGCACAGAATTGAGCTTAGCTTCCATAAGAGAAGGCACAAGACTGGAAACACTGCTGAGTCCATTAAGCCAACTTTGGGCTGTTCCACTTCACCCCTTCCCACTCCAGCTGCTCAGACTGATAAATCAGAGATGTGAAGTGAAATATTACACATAACACACACTGATGGCACAATACAAAACCCTTTAATGAAAGGCTCCACCTGGGCACCTGGCCCTCAGCCCATTCATTGCAGGAAGGGGTAGGCAGTGAGACTCCCCCTTCCCTGAAGGCAGAACAACAGAACACATTCCCAAAGTTACTCCAAACATTCTGTGTATATTTGGTAGCAAACATAAGGATTACCAAATCAATGGGGGCAGGTTAATGAAATAACGTTCTTAGTGGTGTATTACAAAAGAAATGTGCAAGAGTTCCTCTCAGCTGAGACTACAGTACTGAGCATTCATTGAAGTATTTGCATAAAGCCCATTCTAGCAAGAATATGTAGCAATGTTCCAGTTAAGACAGGGTATCAGGAAACACCATGAGGTGAAACATTTCTTCTAGTTCCAAATAAGCTTTTAACAGTTGCTTCCTAACATAATTCGCACACAACAGCACGTCGTCAATTTAAAAAAATATTTAATGCTGCCAAAATCGTATAAAAATACAATAAGAGTGGCAGTACAAAACAAAATATTTCCTAATTTATTTCTTTTACATCTTTCTACATTAATACAGGCATTATAAAAACACAAGACACAGCAAGTCATTTTGTTTTGCAAAGTAGCATGCTGGTGGTGTTCTTCGTCCCCTGGATGCAGTTTACGCTGTAAACAGATAACTGAGGTCCTCCCGGTATTTAACAGACCTCACTTTTGTTCCCGAAGAGGGGGTTCATGTCTTGCTTTGCATGTCATTAATTTGCAGTTTATAGCTGCAGAATATTCACAAGTCTTGGAGGCTTAGGTGTCAGTCAGTCTCGGCCTACGACATACAACGCAAAAGAAAGTCACCGATTCAGTACACAGTGCAAGGACAGAAATCAGAACAGACAACGGGTTGGCAACTCACTACAGAACACAAACGGCTGCTCACGCATGCACTGAAGGGACTACTGATCACTGTTTGTCTGTGGCAAGCACTCTTGGGAAGCTGTTGCTCTTTGGGAAGCTATTCCCACATTATCGTATAAGGCACGGACTCGCTGCAGAGCTCCAGGTACAGGTCAGCCCTTTTAGCCACTTGCACATGCACTAAGCCACAAGTGCTGCAGAAGTCTTCTTTGACCTGAGTGGGACTACAGAAGGCTGCAGCTCAGCAGACTTGCCACCTCTGTGGCTCTACAGGCCAATCCCAGCCTATAGAGAGAGGCACGGAAGGAAGTTCTTAAGCAAAATCTGCTTGTTGGAACATTTTCCTCAGTACATGAGGTGTGTTGCTCTTAGGAACAAAGGCTACGCTCCAAGGAACACACACAGCCCGCAGTACTAAATGGCCAGTGTGCTACAAGCAAAATGCTTCTACGTTCTGCAAGCACTGTGCTGATGCACGCAGAGGGTTCTTCTGTTCAATTAGGATACAAGAAGTTATCCCGAGTACTTATCCAATTTAAATAACGACTCAGACAGAAATACAATTTTGAACACTTTATTTTTCATACATAAAAATGAAAGACTGACCTAAACCTTTGGGGTGTCAGGGTTAAAGAACCCAGGAAGACTACTGTGTGTTATGGCAACTTTGCAAACTCCATTCTGTGACTTAAGCCACTTGGCCATGCAGAAGACTTCCTCTTTTGTCACTAAATTAAGTCTCTTGAGCAGTCATCAAGTGTCTCAGGTTAAAGCATAATGCCAGCAGCAAGCTAAATAATTGAGTTAACATTCATTGAACTTAAAGCTCACAAGGCTGCTCATGGCCAACACAATCCAACACATGCACATATGTATACATTTATACTTCTTCCCTACTCAGTGGAATATCAATTGATGCAAGTAAACCATTTCAGTCAAGACCTAACAAAATTATCTGGGTTTCATTTCCAGTACCTTATTTACATAAAGTAAGTCTGATTTTTCCAGAATTCTGTTTCACAATGAATTCAATTTTCTTAATACATTTCAACAGAAATACAGCTGTACTGTGACACTAAGTAGACTGTCCCTGCATGAAGAATATAATCAAACAGAGGACTTAATGACTAATTCCAAACCACTTGCAACTGAGGTCCAAACATTTCTCAGTGGTATTTTCATAAAAACACATGATTTGTATAAAGCTTTCATCTAAGAGTCAAACACTGTTTGATCAAATTCTGACATCCAGTACACCTCAAGCATTTTGACCAACATATTTCCAAACCAGGGAAAAGCCCAACGCAGTAACACTTCAAAGTGCAAAAGCACTTCGAAAGTGCCATGGAAACAGCCAACAGAAATGCCAGGAATTGGGAGAATGGGGTGGCAGAAGGCATTTCCTTCATTTTCATTCTTTCTTTAAGTGTTTCCTAAAACAAACATCCCTGGGATTGACAAGCCTTCATTCCGACCCACATTTATTCTTATTTAACATCCCACTTGTACACAACTGCTCTAAATTTTCATCCTACAGAAAAACTAAATACCACAAGGCTCAGTTTGCAGTCAAACACTGCAAGCTTCCACAAGTTCTGTTGAAGTGTTTTGTCCCAATCCCAAATCTGACACTGAGGGACCAGAGAGAAGTTTTATCCAATCTGACACCTGGGATGTTCTAAGAGATCTAATACTCATGTCCCTCCCACTCCCACACACTCACAGAAAACTCACTGTTCAAGTTGTTTTGTCCAAGACTTGTACTGGTTCATAACTCAATTTAAGGAAGCTCAGATCTTGAAGATACTTACAAGGATGTAATCAAAATTTCTACCTATCACAACTAAAAGCAGCTCCTTTTACTACTTTTTACTGCATGAGAAGGTAATGTGAGATGACAGAAAATGGCTCCCTGCTGCTGCCCCACGGCCCCCTCCCAACAAAGAGGGCCTCCTCAGCAGCTACACAACAAAAAGCCAAAACGGAGAAGAAGCTGGAATCAGGGAAAATTTGAAGTGAGAACCTGCCAAGACCCAAGCAGAGTTCAGCATTTGAACTCAACCTCATCTAAAGCAAACACAAAGGTGGTAAATGACAATGCTTCCACTGAAGCTTTTGCCTGCACTTTTTCTTTAGCTGCTTTTAGGTATTTTGAATTAAGCCTGGAATATTTCTTCATTATAAAAGCATTTAATTACATTCCACATGCTTTTCCAAAGCCAAGATATATTTTATAAGGCACATAAATTTACACAGTGTATCAGTTACAGCTGATACTTCAAAAAACCTCGATCTTCCCAATTAAAGGAAAAAGAAAAGAATCTTCCATCCAACTTGTCGGCTAACTTACTGTAGTTGTCAAAATTATGACTGCCTTAAAATGCATAAACTGCCTGCCTGTATTGCGTCACAGCCACTGCCATGCTGCTCTGCTCTTAGAGCTGTACAGCAGGTCAGCAGTGCCACAGGACAAATTATCTTTGTTCTACTGACACACCATTTCCCAAATACAGAACTGCGTGCTCCAAGGAACTACACTTGTTTTCACTTCCTTATCTGGACACTTTAGCATTTTGTTTACTATATAAACAGTGTAGTTCAAAATAATATTAACTATTGTGAAATGAGTTTCAAAGAGTACGCACAAGTCAGCCTTGCGTATTTATGTCAGCCTGTTTGGGCCCCACGCCTGGCAAGTTACTGCTCAGCTCTAATGTGCTGGAAACCTGTCAGTTCCTCTGGAACAAGAGCAAATCGTCTAGCTCTCTCAGTATTTTCAGCAATCAATCCAAGAAGTGCTTTACGAATGAACAACAAAAAAACCTCAGTAAGGAATCCCAAGAGGAGACACCCAAGCAGAAAACAATCAAGCTAGGACAGTGGAGAAGGTCAACACAACTTCTTTGAAGTCATCCAACAAGTCAATACTTGAATAAATAAATCCAGGTTTCAAAGTGCAGTCCATTACTACAAAATAATATGTTTCAACTTAATACACCACATATAAGCTCTGTGTTTCAAGAGAACTGAAAGGACAGCAAGTGATCTGTGTTCGGTTACTGTTTAGCAAGCGTTGTTATCATCCAAGTAATGGAAACAGACCATTCAATATTAAAGTGCCTACAGGGTAGGTATTCCCAAAATATCCCTCGCTGAGTATTTTACTTTCATACACCTCTCAAATACAGAAACAGGCAACTTGAAGAGCAATTCTGCACTTTGTGAAATTCTGGAAGTAGCTAACAACTGAAAACACTGGCTACAGGGAATACTACCAGCATTTGTTTTCTATCAAAACCACACTTGGAAGACAAAGTAGTTTTCTTTGAGGTGCTTTCTACGTATATTACTGATAAATGGATTTTATTCTTTATGGCAATTAATCTATAGACACACAGAACATTATGTTTCACATTTAATGGAATGTCAGAACTTTAACAAAGTTGGCCTTCAAACAGTAGCTAAGTCTGAATACATTGATCAGTTGAACAGTATACTTTTCAGTGGGGGCTATGTTCTCCAAAGCCTTAAAAAATTCAAATTCCCAAGCCTTACTTAAATAACAAAAACTACAAAAAATAAATAAGGAATGCAAAGTAACAGAGTAGAAATTGCTAAGTGCTTCATCAGACCCCTAGCTGCTCGCATCATAAATCTGAGAGTCAAAATATGGGGTGTGGTTGCACTATTATTTTCATGCACAAATTACACATAATTTCTAAATCAAGTTCTTTTTTGGTCAGAAATTTGTACAAACTGAGCTTTTAAAAGTACAGTGAACTACAAAAAGATTAAATACGCAATTATAAAATATATTTATCCTAGGTCATAAGAATATAAAATGTTTATGCTCATGTCACCGGTACATTACACATTACACACATTTAAGGATAACTTCTTGGTATTAATAACGTAATGGTACAACACTGTTTATTGCTTATGTCAGGCATGTAAATTTAAATCCAAACAGCCTTCAGTAGCTACAACTCTGTGGTTCAGGGTTTGCTCTAGATCCAGTAGACCATTTTTGAAAGTTGCAGCACATTTGCACCTGCTTATATAAACAAAAAATAACAACTCTGTTGGGGGGGGAGGGGTAGCAGTTCATTTATATACCTGCAGTGGAAAGTCCTGAGATGTTGACAGATTATCAAGTTTACACCACTCCTCTATTGTATGTAATGGTGTGTACCCATTCCAGGTGTAAGGAGTTTACTGCTTAGAGTCACACCCCTGGTCATTAACTTGCAGCAAAATCAGCTGCTGGAGCAGACAAGCTTACTGTTACTTACAAGGAATGTTCTTGAAAATACATTTTCCAGCAAGAATAAGCGCCAACTAAAATCAGTGTACCAAACCCAATCTTAGCAAGAATAGGTTTCCAATATAACCACCTTTTTCTTTTTCTTTCAGTCTCATTTAGCTTCTGCTTCATCTGCTGGACCTTCTGTGCTGTGTTAGCTTTCCTATCATCTCGCAGGCGTTTTCGGGCAGCACTTGAAGAAGAAAGGAAAAATAAGAAAAAGGTAACTCTTCAATTGCACATTCTGTTCCAACAATCTTCACATAAGTAGTTTCAGGTAAATGAAGCCCCATAAAGTTAGCAAATGATGTATACAAAGATGTAAATAGCCCTTGGTGTAAGCATTCAACAGGGAATGGAATTAGCTGAATTCTAACTCACTCATTCTAGCTCTTACTCATTCTAGCTGAGATGTTCCACATGGAGGCTGCAGGTATGTGCAGCATAAGGTACAAGATGAGAGCACCTGCAATATGTAATGTCTGCCCTTGCTACATGGCTCACACTCATGCAGCTCTGCACAATCCAGCCCTGGTCTCTGGCCCCATGGCAATATGGGCAGACCCCAGGGACATAGTGCCCAATTCCCAGTACAGCAGCACACAGCAACCTCAACTCAAGTAAATCCAGGAACTCAGGCATCTGTACTTACAACAAATATTAACTTGATATTACTTGATACAGAAAGACAAATTCATATACCATAACTAAACCACAGAAATCTGTGAATATGTAACATGAATGGAAGGTAACATGTGGCTTCCATCATGCAATTTCAACCACCAAATTGGAAATGGCAGGTGATAAAAACCTTTGTGCTTCTAAAGTACTGTGTATTTTACCAAAGTTCTTATAGAATTTAAAATGTGTATTGAATTATGTTGGGTATTTTTAGGACCTAATTCACAGATAGACTACAGGAAAATGATTGCAAGCTTGAGGTTTAGAGACATCTAAAGCTGAAGTAGGTGTCTGTTTTTTTCTCTTGACCTTTACACCATGAAGATTTATCAAAATAAATATCTGAAGATAAAAAAATAAGACTCAAATGCTACCTGTCCTTTCCCTCTGCTAAAGAAAGATCTTCAAGGTTTATGATCAGAAAAGCACACAGTAACTCAACCCCTCAAAAAGCACCTCTGTCTTCTAAACAGTTTCTTCATTTTACCTACCCTTCAACGTTTCCATCTGTGCCATCTTGAACTTTAGTGGACAGGCCAGTACTTATTTTATCCATTTGATCTTTACTCTCCAGGCCTACGCTGTTCCCATTGTACTTCTCGGTGGTTATTTTGGCTGGGTGTGGAGGAGACTGCTCACTGCTTGGCGCCTGGTCCTCCTTAGAGAGCTCCTTCCACCGTTTCTGCGAACAAGAAGAATATGTTTCAAACATTCTCCTAACACTGAAGGTACTCTTTGTCTAAGATAACATCCTACAGAATACTGCAGATGTGGATTAAAGGATGTATGAGATCAAAAATAAAAATTACTAGACAAATAAACAAGGTCAGACAAAGATATTCTCCAACAACAGGCCAAATGACAGGTTGGGTTATATTAGTAGAAATACTTAATGCTGCTGAAATACTAGGATCTTCCTAACATATTTTTCTCAGTTACTGCAATTCACAAATCAACTTCTACCACCAAGTACACATTCTCCCTAAATTTACTGTAAGAGATAGTAATAGCACAACCATGACAAATATTAACTTTACTAATTACACTATACTTTAGCAACAGAGCTAAAACCAAACATGAGAACATTACAGTGAAGGTGTGCGTTCTGAAGAGAAAAATCTAAAGAGCCAGCATAAACAATTCCCAGACAGACCAAATATTACAGCCATTCCTACCAACACAGACCAGTAGGTATGATGGCTGTAACTAATTACACAAATTTTAATCAAAGACTCCAGTGATTATATTTTCTTACTTTTACATGACAGATAAGCACAAAACTCTTAAGAATATTCATATTAAAGATCAGAAGATCAGGTTTTGCTGCATGAACAGCACAAGCTGTCTTTACTTCTGCAGTATTTTGTAGGGATTGCTGATATATACTTTCCTTTTTTTTTTTTTTTTTTTTTTTTTAAGAGAGAAGTTCATGCTACATCTCAGAGATGAGACAGTTCTCATTAGATAAATGGCCACACAAATTAATTCCTACAGCCTTCAAAAGGCGTAAGGAAACTTGTTTTTTTGGAATGAGATGGGGAATCTAAGGAAGGGGAACAGGAAGGGCAGGCTTAGCATAGCAAATCTGCATTGAAAATGACGATGGTACCGACATGTCCTTATACTACTGACAGGAAAAAAAAAATACAATGAACAGAGTCTGACAGAGACTCCTACGAAGAAAACAAGGAAGAGATTTTGAAGTTTCTTAAGACTTGCCAAAACCTAGATATACGAGACTGCCCTTCTTAGACGTAATGCTAGCATCAGAAAACATCAACATCCTAGAAGGAGCTGAAATATCTTCCTTCTACATTGTTTGTATTTTAGTGTAATGGCTTTGGAGATTTGTCTTTTTTTTTAATACATGTTTTGCAACTGATGTGACATCAATGGCAAAAAGGCACAAGTACAGCACCACTTTGTAATTAGATTATCTCCCTTCAGCCAGCATCCATAGAATCACAGAATCATCAAGGTTGGTAAAGACCCACAAGATCACCCAGTCCAACCATCCACTGATCACCAATAGCTCCCAATAAATCATGTCCCTCATCACAATATCCAAACATTCTTCAAACACCTCCAGGGTCAGTGACTCCACCACCTCCCTGGGCAGCCCATTCCAGTGCCTGACTCTTTTCCAAAAGTAGTATTTCTAAAGTCCAGCCTGAATCTCCCCTGGCACAACTTGAGGTCATTCCCTCTCATCCTATCCCTAGTTACATGAGAGAAGAGGCCAACCCCCAGCTCTACACAACCTTCCTCCAGGTAGTTACAGAGAGTGATAAGGTCTCCCCTGAGCCTCCTCTTCTCCAGACTAAATCTCAACTTCTTCAGCTGCTCTCCATAAGACCTGTGCTCCAGACCCCTCACCAGCTTAGTCACCCTTCTTGGATGTGCTCTTTCTCGCAGTGAGGGCCCAAAACTGAACACAGCACTTGAGATGTGGCCTCACCAGTGCTGAGTACAGAGGGACAGTCACCTCCCTGCTCCTGCTGGCTGCACTATTTCTGATGCAAGCCAAGATGCCATTGGCCTTCTTGGCCACCTGGACACACTGCTGGCTCATGTTCAGCTGAGCATCAACCAATATCCCCAGGTCCATTTCTTCTACACAGTCCTCCAGCCACCCAAGCCTGTAGCATTGCCTGGGGTTGTTGTGGCCCAAGTGCAGGACCTGGCATTTGGCCTTGTTGAACCTCATCCTATTGGCTTCAGCCCAGCTATCCAGTCTGTCCAGATCCCTGTGTAGGGCCTTGTTATCCCCCAGGCAGATCCACACTTCCAGCCAACTTGGTGTCATCCAGAAACTTACTGAGGGTGCACTAATCTCCTCATCCAGGTCATCAATAAAGAGACTGAAGTTTTACTCATCTCAAAAACCTCTTGCTAGGTTGACTCAAACCAGAGACATGAATCTGAGAAGCTTACAGAAGCTGAGAAGTTTACAGTAAACAAAAGTCCAGTACCTGACATAATGCTCATGGGCAGCTCCACACCACACCCCTCACTATAACTGCTGTACTCCTAGTGTCACATGCCTTCTTGCTCTACAACTGAACACTCTTTACCTGGGGGTCACTGTTGTAAGAGTAATTAGGGCTTCTGCCCAGCCTGTCCAGAAAGCTGTGGGTAAGGAGTTAGGGAGGAAACCTCAAGCAAGGCCTCTATACTGCATTTGATACGTTCTAACTCCACCATCCACCATTTCTTCACAGCCTTTTTCCAAAGCCTCTATTGCATGCAGTGGACCTCTGGGTAACTACCACCTCCATATCCTTCAATGATCCCTTTTCATATTTCTCTATTTTACGATGATACAGTGAAGATGCTGGTTTATACTATTCACAATAGCTTCAAAATGAGGAAGTAAGCTTGCACTGTTCAGCAATTTCTTATCATCTCACTCTTTCTCCAGATGCCTACACTGTGCTGTTACCTTTCTTGGCTCCAAAACACAGTAAGTTCTTACATGCAAGAGTGCCTAAAAATAACCAGCGTTATTGATGCCAAAGTTGCAATCTGTTAATTCATCTGAGTCCCATTAGCCTACAGATCCACTACATCGCAAGACAGAAATTCACTTTGCTTGGTGAAGTACTCTGAAACAAGAGGGAAGGAAAAAATAAATGAAAATAAAAATCAAATTGGTATGCTAGATATTTGTCCTAATGATGACTTCTCTGAAGTCTTTCTCACATGAAAAAAGTTAATGCATAAGAAAACCTGCAAGTAACAGAAGGTAAAAGGAAGGCAAAGAATTGCTGCCAAAAATCAGGATACTGAATACGTGGGGTCCATTAATCACTTTTAAATGCCTGTGATTAGAAAGATGAACTGTAAATTGACTCTTTGCAAAACGAGTGCCAGATTGTCATCTGTGGAACAAATTCAAGACAGACCTAAAAAAATACTCCTCAGAGACTGATGTCAAAACCATAGTTATTCATAAATGAAGCTACTCAGACTACCCCACGATGCTGATTTTCCAACCATTGAATCAGCTTCAGCAATAAACTAACTCCTCCACTGCACAGGTTTTGTTTCGCTTTATAAAGAAACCGCCACTAACAATTTAAGAAAATCCACAGTGTAGATTCACCTTACTTCCAGGGAAAGTCTTCTCACAAGACTGTGTCAATAAGATATTTGCTAGCTAAGACAAATACTAAATCTGAGGTAACGAGCACATAGGAAGAACTGAAATCAGAGACAAGCTTACTAATTTTATCACACAAAAGGAATTTCCCACCACTCGTTCTACTGCAAATGCAATAAGTTGGTTCAAATGCCTAGTTCAGAATGAAATGTTAAGTTTAAATCTCCATGACAAAACTATTTGAATGTCAGGACTGCAAAAAAGTACACCTTTAGGCAAACAAGTAGCAAGGACTGTGATGTTAAAGTTTCCAATCAGACGACAGCATCTGCAACTTAAAAAAAACAAATAAAAATGCATCTCTGGAACTGAGATTGTGAAATGATTTCTGGAACAAACAAGTGATGAAGTTTCCATCACTGTCATGCAATCATCGTCAAAATAATGACTAAAATGTTTGAGTAAGGTAGCTAAGTTTCAGGGCCTGTAGTGCCTCTTGGAACAAATGGAGACAATAAGTAAGGTGTATAGGCAATATAAATATATTAAGATTTTCACATGATCCTGTCAGCTGAACAACAGCTCCAGTTCTGGGGATTCACAAACGTCAGTACAAAGCTGTGATGTTCCATGTCAGCAAAACACCTCTGTGGATCTGAACAATTAAACCCTTCTCTGCCCTTTCAAAGCCACAAATTCATTTACCTGAGACCACTCCTTTCCACAGCTGTTTTCTGAAGAGTGATGAGTTATTCTGCTTCGTCATTGAAACAATTTAACTTTGTTAAGAAGGAATTTTATAGATTATGGAAAACTTGAGTCTTGTTCATCTATACACATGGTACTGCAGTACTATCAGGAAGCAAGTCAGTGCTTTAGTTACAAAACCATGCTATCAGCACACCAACCACACAACTCTGTGGGTCTCTAGGGCAACTGATCCCTTCCTGAGGGTCTTGTGTGGAAGCCCCACGTGTGCTAAGTGAGAGGAAAAGTATTCTCCTATCCTGATATAAATAATACAGCTGCAGCCAAGTGTGGGCTGTGTTTCATAGAACCACGATCATCTAGTTTCAATCCCCCGCTATGTGCAGGGTTGCCAACCAGCAGACCAGGCTGCCCAGAGCCACATCCAGCCTGGCCTTGAATGCCTGCAGGGATGGGGCATCCGCAACCTCCTTGGGCAACTTGTTCCAGTGTGTCACCACCGTCTGAGTGAAAAAATTCCTCCTAATATCTAACCTATATCTCTCTTATTGCAGTTTAAAACAACTCTCTCGTCCTATCACTATCCACCCTGATACAGAGGGGGAGCCATTCCCCCTCCTGTTTATATGCTCCCTTCAAGTATTGGAAAGTCACAATGAGGTCTCCCCAGAGCCTTCTCTTCTCCAAGCTAAACAAGCATAGTTCCCTCAACCTTTCTTCACTCTGATACTCCAGCCCTCTGATCATCTTAGTGGCCCTCCTCTGGACTTGTTTCAAGGGTTCTGTGTCCTTCTTTTACTGGGGACCCCAGGCCTGGATGCAGTACTCCAGATGGGGCTCACAAGTGCCAAGTGAGAGGTAGGATGACCTCCCTCTCCCTGCTGGCCACCTCTTTTTTAATGCAGCCCCAAACACAGTTGGCCTTTCAGGCTGCAAGCGCACACTGCTGGCTCATGTCCAACTTCTTATCCACCAGAACACCCAAGTCCTTCTCTGCAGGGCTGCTCTCAAGGAGATCTTCCCCCAGTTTGTATAAATACTTGGGATTGCCTTGGCCCAAGTGCAGCACCATGCACTTGCCCTTATTGAACCTCATTAGGTTTTCATGGGCCTACTTCTCCAGCCTGTCCAGATTCTCCTGGATGGGTTCCCTTCCTTCTAATGTACTGACCACACTGCTCAGCTTTGTGTCATCCACAAACTTGCTGAGGATGCACTCGATGCCATCACCTGTCACTGATGAAGATGTTGAAGAGCGGAGCACTGGTCCGACCCCTGAGGAACGCCGCTAGTGACCGGTCTCCACCCTGACACAGAACAATCGATCACGATCCTTTGGCTGTGTCCAGCCAACCAACTCCTAATCCACTGAACAGTCCATCCTTCAAATCCATACCTCTCCAATTTAGAGAAGCATGTGGTGAGGGACCATGTCAAAGGCTTCACAGAAGTCCAGGTAAATGACATCCATCACCCTTCCCCTGTCTACCAATGCCATCACTCCATCACAGGACTGTAAACTGCTTGCCTGCAGAGTTTACTGAAATCCATGGAGAAGTCAGAGACCAACATTTGGTTAGTGTTACTTTAGAGAAACTTGTCATTACTACATGTTCACTCCAAAACCTCTCACACTCTGGACAGTTCAACAATTCTCTATGGGTGGAAAAAAAATCTAGCTGACCTTGAAAGGGAAAATACTCCCGTATGTACTGCAGGCTTGGGTCAAACATGTATTGATTTTCTGCACATGGCCATGATGTGGAAAGAGAAAAGCATCTGGACAACTAACTACATTGCAGAAAACACTGACTTAAAGGTCATCTGAACAATCACCACAGAAAACATGCAGATAGCAGAAATAACAAAGTTGATGAGAGTATTCTGAGTTAACAATACTTCCTTCTGTCTATCTATATTGCAAGATTTCTTGTTTCTGCAAGTACGTGGGAATCAGAGCTGCACAACTTGAAGCACAGCTTTTTAATAAACAAAGCAGAAAAATTATGGAAAGAGAACATGCTCATATTCCCAGAAAGAAAGCTCCAGAAAGGTAGGAGGCTGTACATGTTTGGATGAATCATGCAGTATTCTAGGCCCTCAGTGCAGCTGTTCAGATGAGCAACAAACTCTCTACATGTTGGTAAGTAACTGTGTAAAATGATTTATTTATATACGTAGCAAGTCAAGAAAAAATTCTAGGAGAAGAATCTGACAACTTCCAGAACTGCAGAAAAAGAGATGCATGTTTAAGCTGATCTGCTTCATTAATTTTAATGAATAAATCAAAAAAGCCCTAGCATATGGAAGCAGAATTAAGTCTGTTACACAACCTCTCCTCCTGGCCCTCCCTCCCCCACCCAGACATTTAAAATAGCTGTAGCTACCATAATTCCTGCAAACTACACTGACAGAGCAGTGAGATCTGGTAGTCTCTCAAATTCGCTGTATTTAGCTAGATTCTACTAACTGTAATATAAAATTTAAAGGATATGAAAAAAAGAAGCTGTACTAATAAAGCTCATTTTTAGCATCAAGCAATTATTACTGCTAAGAAAGCGTAGGACAAGAAGTTAAGAAATCCAGCAGAGATTCTTGTTATCTTTTCAAAGTGACACCGAGTGTTACTTCTGCTTTTCAGTACTGAAAACACTGACTTAATCTTTTTAAAATTAGAAATGCAAAAATAACTTGTCTTCTCTGAGATGTACAGACAATTACATAGGATTAGGAGTTTAGCAGCTAGAAAGGGCTGTACCTTTAATAGCCTCAAGAAACATACTGAAAAAGGTAGTTTATTTTAAACCCACAAAATCGATGATTTTAAAGTAGCTCAGAGCTCATTTTTAACTACTGTTAGCAGTCTACTGTTTATGCTTAAACACACAGAGCTAAAGTAATTACCTGTATAGTTGAATCCCCCATTATAAATTTTGCTCCTTCTATTACAGCCATATATGAAAATCTTAGTTGATCAGGTGTCTGAATAAGTCCCATTCGGTATTTTCTCATATCCAGTAATACCTTCTTAATATCTACAGAAAACGGATCCTTTTTTTCCATCTGTAAAGAAGGTTATATTAAAAGTGTCATAGATATGGTTAAGAAAAATTACAGATTAAAAAAAAAAGAGTCACAAAATGCAAACTAAAAATTAATTTCATCACGTTATGTTCCTATTAGTTACATAAGAAATTAAACACCTCAAGATTTTTGAATTGGTTTTCACAGGAAAAAAAAAGTAAATCATTAATGAAAGCTTGTCCTGAGCAAATCTACAACCAGTATTAACCAAAAAAATCAGTACTCTATTATCAAGTCTTAACTTTGAGGAATTTAGATGCACTTGGTTTTATTCCAAGATGTACTTCCAAATAGGCCTATCACAATCAGAATCACAAAGTATTTCCTGCAACTCCCGAGTAGAACAGCAGTTTGGAGTAGAGCAGACATTTCCTTATTCAAAGCAGATCCTCTAATTTATGTGCAACACACACATTTTGAGCTCCACACTAGACTCGTGGGAGCTGTTTAAGTTACATATCCGCACTCCTTGCCATGTTTATTTTAATTCTTTTAATGTTAAAGTATGCTTGCATCAAAATGTTTGTTGTTGTTGTTTGTTTTTTTAAAATACACAAAAAAACAAAGAAAAAGAATAAATTGAGAGGGCATACTCAAAACATAAGATGACTAGTTTAGACTTAAAATGAAATCCTTTTCCTTAACCCCATGCTGTACTTCTCACTATTAACCAACAGAGCCAGAAGTGGACTCAAAATTTGAAAATCACACAGAACTTAAAAGGTGTTTTACATTTTATTTAACATTTAAAGTGCACTCAAATTATGAATAATGATACAGTCCATGAGTCTAAACCTAGGCTAATCTCAATTTACTCTGTATCTCATAAAAGGCAAGGAGTGCTGCCTAGGTACTTTCCGGAACGCTGTGAAATGGGTGAAATACCTCCAGATAAATTCATCAGCATATTTTAAGACTTCTGTTTATAACCATTAAAACGTGAAGGAAAAAAGCCTGATACCCTAACTAAAACTTTCACTGATATGTCATTACCTTAAATGGTTTTAAAGGCTTCTGACCAAAACACCCACAGTGAGAACGAAGGCAGAGTGTAGAAAGGAAAGAGGTGGCAGAAAACAACTAAGTACTTACCAGAACAAGACAAGAGTCTACTAATGAAAACGTGCCGGATCGTCCTATCCCTGCACTACAGTGAACCACTGCAGGTCCATGTTCAGGACTTAAGCAACCAGATTCTCTGACTTTAAAAAGGAAGTTCAGGAAAGAAGCTGGGGATTCAGGAACTCCAAAGTCTGGCCATGTAGTATAATGAAAGTGAGATATCATCCTGGATTCTCCACTCTAGAAGTAAAAACAAACAATGCAACTAGAAAGTACTCAATTTGTGTTTAGTTAGCACACATTTCCCCAGTCCAAATCAATACAACTCTATTTTAAACCTCCCATTCATATAAACAATCTAACATCTTTTGCAAATTGGATGACTACCAAACGATGCAATCTGAAGCATTTCATCACCTGCATTAGTAGTTTTTCCCCTTTGAAATTATTACTAAATATCATTTTTCCTCTTCTCAAACTTCCACTGTTTTATTTTTTGCTTTACTACTTGCCCTCAAATATTCCTTCTTAACCATTAATGCAACTTAATGGCTGACAGCAATCACGTTACGGTGGACAGGACTGAAAAAATACCCATCAGCATTGCAAGCACTCCCTTCTGCTCAGAGCAGGGTACAATATCAAGAGGTACCAGCATCTCCTTTCTACTAATGCACCACTGAGAGTAGCAAGAACGTGCAACAAGACTCAGCTTCATTCATTGAAAGTATTCATTCATTGAAAGTAAATAAAAATTTGAACACCACACAAATTTTTCCTCAGCAAATAATATGACAGTAAGCAAATCTGCATGTATACTGAAAAGCTTCAGTCATGAATTTGAGCCATGTCTTTGCAGAACTCCCTTTAGATTTGCTGTTAAATACTACTCCTTGCCTCTCCTCTCCTTGTTACACACTGATTCTGAGACAATTTGGTCAGCAATTCAGTTCAGGAATTTTTAACCTCCCTCCATTTCACCTACGTTTTCCACGGATATTGAAATCTATATAAACATGCACATGCTTGAAACATCAATAGATTTAAGGTATCTGTGCATTACAGAAAATCCATTTTTCTCTTTCAGCTATGAGGGATAACGTATGAAACTCCTTTGTGAAACTATGATTGCCCAGTTCATAGTTATCACAATAACAAGAATATTCTCACACTGTCTTTTGCCCTGATGCTGCAAGACTGCACATTTCCACAGACAACAAGATCTATTACTGTGACTCAATTCAATCTCAAATACACAACATTTTTGCAGGGATATTTCATCTTTTGGATAAAAGCTCAACATGGAAAACAGTCTGACCCATCACACTTGGTACATGAGTATACAGTAAGATTTCAAAAAGGAAAAATCTACCAAACTTCCCTCAATTACATACATACAGGAATTTTCCTTTCTTATTTGTCCGAAGCAAAGCATTAAAAAAAAGTTTGTGTTCTCAGCTGAGATGCAGTTTTAATGATACTGACTTAGTTTAACTAGCCAACTTTTTTAAACATCATGAAGGAGATGTTCTTGAAAAGAAGTTCGGTAGTTATAAAAATTTAAGGAATGTAACATACTAAGAAGTTTCCTCAAAAAAAAATCTCCAGAAAAATAATTCATCAATTGACAAAATAAAGAGGAAAACTGGAGAGGGGAGGGAGAAGAACATAACAGGTAAAGAGAAGCTTAAAGGTATTTCTTCTGAATGTAGGTGATCTTTTGAAGTGGTAATCTGTACTCTCTCCTCCTCCTCAAGATTCTTAACAGTATTCCAGATGAAAGCCTCCCTTATACCTCAAGACAATAAAAAGCAGTACTTATCTATGGGAAATAAAGCTGACCTGTGGGATGGAGTCGAGTTCTTTGTTTTGTTTTTTTAAATTCCTTACTGTAATAAGCACTAGCATCCTCATCTTTAAACAAAGAAAAACACACAGCAATGCTTCCAGCACATGGCCAAGTGTCCCCCTGTGCATACACTAATCTGAAAAAAGCTATACCTAATGGAAAAATAGATCAATGCTACTGTACATCTCATCCATCTCTAGTCCACTGAATTACTTTTTCTTCCTCCCCAAACTGTATGAAAGCTTTATCCATTCCAGAATTTTCCATCACTTAAGCTCATTTAAAAATATCTAGTCTCTTCATCTCTCTTTATGAGTCTCATTTCAAAGCAACTGGCTGGTCTTTGAACTTGCAGTTTTTAAACATAAAGCCAAGTCCCATTTGACTCTTTGAAACCTCCCACATTTTCTCTCTCACACAGAAAGACTCTTTCAAGTGGTGCTTGGCAGTCGAGCTGGACAACTGAAATACTGTTTTTATGTGAGTAACTGTACCATTCTTTCTTGAAGAACTTCTTTGTTTTGGGGGATGTGGCTAGCCATGCACCACAGGTACCTCCTACATGAACTTACTGCAAGACTCTAGAGAGAAAAGGTTTGGCTTGGTAAGGATTCACAACTGTTGAGTGACAGAAATTCAGTTAAGGAACAGCCGATTATTTAAAGCTGTTAAGCTTTAAATGTTAAATGTTCTTTTGAAGAAAAAAAGCTAAGCCTCAGGATTCAGACAGCTACTACACATTTTATAGATATATAAATGTTATAAGCAGGTTTACATAGGTAAATAGTTTAAGCAGTTAATGCTCTTCTGCTTGACAACTGAGAATCAGTTTATTCTACAGTTACTATGCCATATTCTTCTAACACTTATTCTTTAAGCCTAGCTACCTATCCTACAGAGGTCATCATATAATATTTTAAAACTTTTTGAAAAATGCTGTCAAACCATTCTAGTGAATGTTTCATGAAATACTGGGATAAGCTTACAGCAAATAATTACAGCTAAATCTGGTTAGCTTGGAAGTTAATACCACACTGCACGGCTCTCCACTGATAGCTGGCAAGACCTGCAGCACCATCACAAGCCATGCTCCAAGTTATAAGCAAGCAAGGATCAGAGCAGAAGAATAATATAAGGCAATGAGGCAACCTTTCCACAAAATAAACCTTACCACAATCATCTCACAGTGAATATCTGATAATCCAATTAAGAAGGGTACAAAAAAAATATCAGAACAACTCTCATCACCTTAGGTTCAGTCACCTGAGAGCCTGAGCAGGAATAAAATACTATCAAATTGCTCAACAAAGCTGATGCTTTCAGTGTCAAGCAAACCAAGTTAAGACAGAAAATGCTCACCTGCCAAATTTCACACAAACAAACCTTAAAAAAAAAAACTGTGATAGCTGATAGGCTACTTAAATGGTCTAATATATCAAGGAATAAAAATACACACAAATCCCAGTGGTGGTCTTGTATTTAACAATCAGGCCTCAAATGCATTAACATTTAATTTGTATTGAAATGAGGTGTGCTCTGGACTACTAAAAAAAGTACTGACATTCAAAATATTGACTTTTACCACAACCTTCTCTATTTCCTCATTCTAATGCCTGGCAGAACAGCTTTCAAATTACATGAAATTGTAATGAAGATAATGCAACTAAATAATTCTCACAAACATTCTGCTTTCCAGAACTAGTACGCATCCTCTCAGTTAATATACTAGAAGTTATACCCTCTAAATCTGTAAAGCACATACAGGAAAGGAAAACCCAGACTCCTGTAAAGAAATGATATTTTTTGTAACATCTCAGCCTTATTTCTTATGCAACAAGAAGCAAAATACGTACTTAAACTTTTCAAAGTGCTGAGAACATCCTAGAGTTTAAAACAAGTGTATGCCATGTTTCAGAAATTCCTTCCAACCACTGCAGCAGTTACATAAATATATACACAGTCACAGTGACCAAAATCACATTATATATGAGATAACAGAACATGGCCTGCCATTAGATTGCTGCCTTCATGAGCAAAATACCTTCTTCAGACATTTAAAACGTTGAACACTGGAAACCAACAGCAACTCTAATCTTATCTTCATTTACTACACTGATCCTGTGCTTCCACCTGAAACGTATTAAGAAACCTTACTCTCAAGTCTCCTAGATTTGTTGCAGCGTTAGTGGTAGATTACTACCTCTCCTCGAGCTGCTTTACACTTATTTCTAGGAACCCAGCCTGGGACACCTTTACTCACACAAATACTTAGCAAACTTACTGTACTGAGTTTTCCTTTTATGCCCTAGTGCTTCTATAAGACTTGAAGAATGCTAACTCCAAGTAATATTTTGTATGTAAAACAGCTAGAAGAAACAGAACATAATGAACCTAATTAGTTACTCAAAGGGGGGGGGGGGGAACCCACAATTTCAATTTCTTTCCACTGTTTCATTTCAGCATTGAGCCAATCTCTGGTTTCCCTCAGATTCTGATATTCCTTCATTCCCTGAAGCTTCCCTGAACTCCCCAGTACCGATCTATTCCCCTTAAGTTCATCAGCACTCACTGCATTATACCCTGTGGGTGATGCACACTGTATCTTCACGATACCGCCTGGCCACCACACCAGAAGTTAATGGAAATACAGTTTTCCTTTTAAGCACTCATCACAAGGAAAGCCAAAAGGATTAATCAATTACACATTCTGTACACGGTGGAATCTTACAGAAATTACCTGTGAATACCTAACAATTCACCCAGAATATGATGATAGTCACCAAACTTAGTCACTCCATCCAATGAAGCACAGATTTAACCAAAGGCTCTACAACACCTATCAACTTCTCCATTACACTTAGAGGTGTTACTTCAAGTCACAGACATGCAATAGCTTTTCAAGTAATTGATTACAAATTTATAATGTAAGCACAGTAGTTTCCTCTATTCTTATTTTCCATCGTAGGCAAGGGTTTATAGAAGCCTTCATATTCAGTCTTTCCTTAAGGGGAGCAGAAAAAAAGACACCAATGAACATCATCTCCTCTACAACGTTTTTGGGCAACTCCAGCCACAACAGCAAAAACAAAACACTTGCCCCAAACATATCTAAACCAATCAAACTATCAAATGTCATCATCTAACCCTAAAAACACACACTACCCCTCAAATCCCTATCACCTGTATTTCTAACTGCTCTTTAATGACAAATAAATTAGAAACAAATACTCAGGTTTTGTTCTATAAGAACATTAAGCACTACTACATATTCATTTTGCTTGTGTATTAGTGAGATTTGTTGAAGTTAACACAAATAATTTACTTGAGTCCAGAATAGCTGCACTGTAAAGCCAATTTAGCATTTCCATGAAAACACAGAGAACCTAAAATTTCTTAAGTATTCTTGGAACTCAGAATAAAATTGTATTTGTGACTCATCCTATATTCCAGGCATCAAGTGGCTAAATGGTTTCCTACACTGTCCCCACAAAAGCCCCCTCCAGAGTTAAAGTGCATGAGCACAGTTAAGCTCACATTTCAATTCAATGTGAATACTCAATTCCCACTAATCTTAATGGCACGCTTCAAAATTCTTACAAAAGAATGCATTTGCAATTCACAGTGCTGTTATCCTAGGAACTATATTGTTGTTCCCGGATAATAGCACTGTGAATTGCAAGTGCAGCCTTGCAGGCTTTCCCCCCCCCCCCTTGAGTAACTAATTATGTTCTGTTTCTTCTGGCTGTTTTACGTACAAAATATTATTTGGAGTTAGCATTCTTCAAACGTTATAGAAGTATTAGGGCATAAAATAAAAATTCAGTACAGTATGTTTGCTGAGTATTTGTGTGAATAAAGTTACTTACAAGAATGTCTATATAACACTGATGGGGCCTGCATTAACAGCCCAGTAAACTTAGGCATTTCAGCTCTCAGTAGCTTTAAGTCACAAAGTCTACTACAGTGTTTATGCTACTGTGCTGTTCCTCATACGATCTCCACATTTTCCAGCTAACGTTATGTCCAAACACGGATGTGTCATGAAAACTGTATTCTTTAAAAAACAGGAAATTCAAGATTATAGGCCAATGGCAGTCAAATAATTATTAGAAGGAAAAAAAAAAAAGGCCTTTTCAATAGTTAGGAAAACATGCTTCATCCTTCCAAAAAGGAGAGCGGTTCTTTCCCAGATGCTATCTTGTAAGCAGTACTGCTCTTTTTCTTAGCCTTTGCTGTTAACAAACCAAAGACTAACAGAAATTCTCCAAGTCAGTAGGTCAGAATTTCATAAAGCTCTTCTTTCGTTGAATAAATCAAGGAACTACATGCCAAGTTTTATCATGTTGATCTCGTGAGGGAGGTTTCAAATTAACAAACAAATGGTACTTGTTTCAAAGTATCATTAAGAGTTACTATAAATTCAAATAATTTTGATCAAACATATCAAGACTTAGTTGTATAAAACAACATGCAAAAGAAAAATCCTCTTCAAGCTTTCCTTTCCCAAATCCACTAACAAGACAACTTTGAATAAAACTTGCCATACGATCACTTTCAATTAATATAAGGCAAGATTTATAGGGAGAGAGAATATCTTACAAGACATAGCTGGAACAAACAGACAAGCTCTTCAATCCTGTCTTCAGTTCTGAAACAGAAGCAGCAAATTCCAACCCAAGCTCAGGCCAGGAACAATTTTTTTTGAGCTTAACTCGATTAAATTGTCAAAGTGCTTAATTTTTAAGAGAAAAGGATGGTTGGTCCTGTGGAGCAAAAGGGGAGGTAAGCAAGAGGAGATAATGTTACCTATCCACAGGTGGCAATTATCCCTTCCCCCCCACCCCAAACTTACTTAGCTGCACTGAAGTATGTGGAAAACTACAGTTAAAAAAAAATAGTAATAACTGAGTATCATTTCTGATATTCAAAAGAAATCAGAAACTTCAAATCCTAGGTTCTGCCTTTTAAGGTACTTCTTACAGCTCCTCTTAGGATCACCTCTACTACCAATAAGAATTCAGCACGCTGAGATACTGCCAAATGGAAAACAAAAATACTAAAAAAAAAGTGCTGAAAGACTTCCCTCTTAACATTTACATTGAGATTTACTCACTTGCGATATGCCACACATCATTTTCAACATTATTAAAAGCAAACACATTATAATTTTCAGTGTAAAAGCTCTATTAAACCTGCAGTGACAGTGTGCTAAGTGCTTTGCATTATATACTCAAGGTCAGGAATATGAGATATACAGACTCCAAAAGCTTACGTTGATATTTTCTAATTGCAGTAGGTGAACAGTGTAATAGGATTTGACGTCTTCCGATACTAGCCTCACACGAAAGCCTGTTTCACTAAATATCATAAATTCTTCTCCTCTCGTTGGCCAGTACTGTGCACATTTCACCTATGTGGAAAAAGAAAAAAGAAAAAAATCAAGTTAAATACCCTAGCACCCTGGGCTTTGTGCTACCAAATTGAGACCTTTTAATACAGTATAGTAGATTAAAGTACACAGTACCTGCTCCTAGTTTGAGGAATTCTTAGATTCTGTAAAGTTTACACTCAAGTGACTGCAACAGTTTCAGTTGGTGTTACGCATTCCAGCTGTAGCTGTTCACTCTCTCCTTCACCACAGTTCCAGTGCATCTTGAGACCTTAACCCTTCACCCTTTCCCCAGCTTTCCACCTAGTTCTCTACACAGATCTTTACTCATCTATTTCAAAACTTCTTCCCTGCATTTCTGACATGGACATCTGCACATTTACAGAAGTGATGCAACACACTGTGCCTATTTCCCTAAGCCTTGCTGAAAACTGGAAGATTTATTGAAACACAAGAACAAATCAGCTATGCAGAACTTCCTCATCCTTTACTCGTCTTGCTTTGCATTCAGGTTTACTGTAGGTAAATAAATGACTTCTTCCATAGACTAGGCAAAAAAATTTCACTAACAAATACACTCTAGGGAAAGAAAAAAAATCTCCACAAAACGACACGCATTTATCATTCAAATTTATAGTGATTTTAGGCACGTTAGTAGAAAAAAAAACAACGCAATAGCAGAAGGTTGATATACTTTGTATGTGTACCACCAACTGTAAGTAATCCAAAATAATTAGACCACTTCGACAGTTGGTGGAGGCAGCCTGGCTTCATTGTTACAAACAGTTCCTAACACTACACAAAAAATACACTGCTCTGAAATAATCTAAAGCTTTAATTCAAATGCATCTTCCCACTTTTTTTTTTTCTTTCTAGAGCAGGTTTTGTTTTTTATTTGTTTTACCTATGCTGCTTCTACTTCATCTTAGTTCTGTCTCAATGCACTCCTTTTTCATCACTTTACTTTCACTTCTCTGGACATGTACTAGATGCTGGTTTTAGTGCAATTAATTTTGCCTTAGCTCCATCACTTTGTTTAATGGAATAGCATATACACATCATACTGTACACCAATGAAAAAGTGTTGATTCTTTAATCATAACAAAGAATTTGTATGTTCAGCAATATTAAAAATACATTGCTCACTTTCTAACTTAAGCAAAACATCTGATGTTACTCACCGAGTCTTTTTCAACAATTCTGTTCAGCATAACAACTGCTTTGGTTTTTTGTTGCCATACCATTAGCCAAAAATGACAACACGTATTAGGTAGTGGACCCTGTGTGGCAAAAAGAAAAATGAATGGGAGAATGCATTAGCAATGTCTCAACAATGACTGATGTTTTATTGTGTGAAACCAAAGAAAGTCTTTGTCCAATAAGCTTAACCAAGCTATTAACAAAATGATAGAGAAGACAGGAAAGAAAACAACCACACTGCACAAATCACTCAAGTACTGAAAGTTTAATCAAAGCAATAAAAACTCAGGGAATGGATGCTTTAGTTTCAGCATCAACACTACTGTGCAGTTAGAAGAAAAGTTATTGCAGGCATACTGAAAAGAAACAAGATGAATTAAGTGATATTGTTTTATACTTTCACACTTATAAAAAGTATAAAAATTATGTATATCCATAATTTTATTTAACTTCATATTCTGTTTTACACTAGCTATGCTTATTTATATACATATAAGCATATAGAACAGGAGAGATTACTGTCAGAGCTATGAAGTATAACATATACTAATAAATATAAACTTACAAAAGTGTAAAACCATTATTACCTGAAGAGCAGGAAATATCTACAAAGCTTTAAAGACAGTCAATTATATACACTTAAGCATTCCCCTTTATCTTTTTTTTTTTTAAAAAACACACAACTAGATCAAACAGCCTGTTAGCATGAGATACATAATCCACAGTGATGAGGAATCATCCAAACATAAATTACCATTGTACAAATCCACTTCCCCCATATCTGCATTCCCTGTAGTACCTGTCAGTCTCACCTGTGTTAAGATATAGCATCTCTGGGCTTCTTCTATGACCACTAGGCTGGCATTGATATAGTCATTCTCTGTGTTCTGCAGTTTTACTCGACTGTGATCATCTAAAATTAAAGGAAACTTCAGAATGAACAATGCCTTTACTTTCACCAATACTCCACAGCAGGAGAGTTTAGGCCTAAGAAGCAATCATTAAAGAATTTATTTTCTATCTAAGTAAATGGCAAACTACACGAAAGCAGTTTCTCATGTAACATCGCTAACAATGGCTGTCTCATTCTGCCCTCAGCATTCCATCACAGGTTAGTAACTGGAATACCACTTTTCCTCTGAAAAACAACCAATTCCCCACACCAACAAAAGCAGCTCATGCTCATCCTTCAACAATTTTATTTCCTTAATATAACAGTATGACAAGCCATATCAGGCTACATTCCACTGCATGGTTTGCTTTAAGTTTGGAATTCCAAGGTCTTCAGCAACCTACAACTCCACAGGCCAAGGCAGAATCATAAATTGGCATAGCTAAAAAACTACCTACTTGCAGTCATTCAAATCAAGCTTTGCTGAACTTAATTTTCCTTGTAATTTAACACAATGCAAATTAGAAGCACTAAGGAAGTAGCACGTAAAAGATGTCCCTATTAAACAAATCTTCCAATTAAACAAGCCTGATTTTATTACATGCTTTCTACCTTTCCCACGATTTTGCAAGCAAGGCAGAAGATTTGCTACTTATTGCAGATGAAAGCAGTCAAAGGATTGCTTTTAAAATACTAACATTAACGTGAGAAAGATTATCAGACTGTCATATGACAATGCTGCATAATGAAAAGTCACTGTGACTGTATGTAGGATTTCCCAGTACTTGCTGACAGCCCTCTACCAGGCACTTAAGTAATCAGACTCATCCACAGCAAATAACCCTTCGTCAGCCATTTATCAGATTCCGTTAAATAAACAGCAACTTTTGTCTGAAATCCATACACAATTGCATATCACAAACTGAGCTCCAACTGACTATGAACCCCCTGAAGCTCAACCACTGATAGATTGTTTGTAAGAACAACTAAGGAACAATAGCAAAGCTACTTCAGTGCATTTCAGGAAGCCATTCTGTAAAGCAACAGACAGAGCCAGCAGTGAGTCAGGGTGTGATGCCAGTTTCTCACTGACACTGACCACAAAACTTGGAGTTGTCGCAGCTGCTGCCAAAACACGGCAACCCTCTGTTCCCTTTCCCATACTGTCACCAAAAGCCTAAGTTCCTTTTGACATCTATCTTGCAAAATTAACAAAACCCATGACCTTTGTGCAAGCAACCACTAATTATCACCCTCAGGACAGCTATGCTGTCCCTATGTCACTGCCAGCCTATACAGCACAAGGCTTATCTAAGAAGAAATCCATGAACATGACCCTGGCTGGGCAAACAGCTTATATGAGAATCAGAACAAAGTTAATGAACTAGCCCCCTGTTCTGTGGGCTGCTTGTATTATTTCATAAATACTTTCCACAGTTTTGGAAACCTGGGAAAAATGTATTTACTTTGCCTTGATCTGCTTTTATGCTCCTCCTCAGCTCTCTGCTACTGGCAGCTGCCAGAAGCTACCAGGATGTACACGGATCCTTTACAAGACTGTGATGACTGTTCTTACATCACATATTCTTCAGCCTCTTAAATATATGGTCACCTTACCAGATTCACAGAAGAAAGTGAACAGTGAAATTCTTTATTTTCTCCCCCAGAGGACTAAGGTTTGAGGTTGTCTAGCTGCTAGCTTTTATGTGTACAGCACAGAAGTATGCCATAAAGCTATTTTTAATACAAAAGAATGAGAAAGCTACTGGGTTAGTCTGTTTTCATTAGCATTCCAGATGTAAGGCAGCATCGTCTTGACTCTCAGGAGTCTTAAAACAATTTGTACACCCATATGAAGGGGAAAAAAACAGAACAGTCAAGACAGTAGACTTAAGGTGTGTTTTAAGGTAAAAATGTGTCCTTGCATTATTTTATCTGGAAATTCAAGTGTTACTTTTTCCTTTCATATATCACTTTATCTGAAATGTTTCTACTGGAGAGAAACCAAGACCTTTGTAAATATTACATGTCATCTGCCAACAGGAAAAACTTAAGATCTTGTTATAGTAAATCACACATACCGGTACTAGTGTTCTCGGAAAGATGACGTAAGCAGGCACTGTTAACAGTTTAATCACCCAGCAGCAGCTGCTGCTCTGCTGCCAGCAGGAGATAACTGCCTGAGCCCTAAACCAGACTTGGTACTGTAACACTTACACACATTTTCAGCCTTATTTTTAACCCTCTTCTAAGATCTGCCCTGTTAACATTATAAAGAAAGTTTGGAAATAACTCCTAACAGTTAATTCTCTCTCCTCCTCCCCAACCAAAACAGAGGCAAACCTCCAAATACGGTGGCATACCCAGGGGACAAAGAAAGCCACGAGCAAATATTGATTTCCCTTTCAGGGGAATGGGTTCCTAAAGGACACAATGACCTAGAAACCTCATTCAAGTTCTGGCTTGCTCATCTGAATTAAATGAAGCGAGCCAACCTTCAACAGCAAGTTAGTTGTAACGTATTTCTCATATGTAAATCATTTCCAGTTACACAGGACTTCAGATTTATACGAACGATAAACATATCTTAAATCTAATCTAAAAGATCTATCTTAAACACTGCCAAGCTCACAACAGCTAAAATACAGTACTCATTTTCTGAAGTGTTAATTTCCCTATTTTGACAAATTACACAGCTGAAAAGGAAGTGGCAACCTTAAGAATGCTTCTCATTCCGGCTCCCGCACTAAGAACGCTGCTCCCACAGCCACCTTGTCTGAGATAAGCTCTTATTACCCACTTCTGGCAAACCCTTTCCCTCCACTATTACCTACAACGCTCCCTGCATCTCACACAAGGCCAAGATTTCAGACTGCACACTGCCCACCCCCTGCAAAAAGGAAAGTGACGTATCCAGTTAAAACAGAGATAGGAATGTTTGACAGTTCACTGACATAGATCTTACAGTTGGTTAATGAAAGGTTTTATTCAAAATCAACTGCACTTCTAAACACGAAAACGCTGCTTAACCTAAAAAACATCTTTTGTCCAAGAGAAGTCTGCTTGCCAAATATGGTGCTATAACAGAGAAGGGTGACATGCTACTTAGTGGATTAAACGACGTCACAAATAGAACATGCAGCGATAAGCCATCCCAGTGACCCTGTGTGACGCTTCACCCCCTGACGGTAAATCCACTTCATTTCACTAATCTAAATCTGGTCTACCTGAGCTGCTACATTACCCAAATCACAGCCCTCCGTCACCGGATGTACACTCACAACTTTCAGACAAGTGGTTTCAGAGGGAGCCTAAGGCAAAGGAAAGGCAAAGCAGCTCTTCCCACCTTGCCAACGGTTGCACACAACACATGCCACCATGATGTATCAGCAAAGGCCTAGCTTGTAACTGGAATGTATTCATACTGAAATACATAGGTCGCTCTGAAAATAATTCTATATGTATTTCCATGGAAACTACAACAGATACAAAGAGCTCTGTAACACTATCTGATGGAGCTACAAAACACTGTTTTTCAACAGTCACCACCATTAGCTGTGTATTTTCACCAGCCACAACACAGCTTGCATGCTGTGCTCATACGAAGCTGCACCATCAACAACATGGTCTAAACGTTGGCTAGCTCTGAAGCGCTCAGACTCTATGATCTTTGACAGTCCCTTCCAAATGAACTCTCCTGTTCTAAAGTCTAGATCAGTATGTGCCAGGATACTCCCCTCTTCCCCAAACCTTAAGAAAGAAATATCTCCAAAAGCAACACACACAGTTTGTTTATAACATGTTTCTGGTAACAACATGTCCTATAGAATCATTAGGTAATGTCACAAAAAAAAACCCAAACCACATTAGTTTCAGCTTCTAAGATGGACAGCAAGAAGTGCAGTAGACTTATTGTGGACAGAACCTCTGGGCATGAACTTGAAACACAGGACAAAAAGGGAACATTTTGCCATAATAAATAATCAGTGCTAAGTGCAAAACCATCCAGCTCCAACTCAGTTCCTCATAAAGAACAATACCCTTCACATTCTTCTCTCCCTGGCATATGTTCTACAACAACTGTAAGCCTACAGTTGAAAGATCCAACACAAAGTCTACTAGATGCCTCCTGAAGAAAACAAAGAGAAATCACTACCTTTTAAGATTTTCCAACAGCAACATGATCTATTTGCTGAAAATGTTCAGAGGACCTAAGAAAACAGGCTACATGCCATGTCATAAATGACGGCTAAAGAGAAAACTAACTTGTTCCATCTCTCACAAGAGGGAGAGAAAGATCCTGAAGAAATCCTGATAGTTTTACCTGAGGGGGGATTCCCTTTCTGCCTCTGAACCTGGAAATGCAGTAGGAAAATCTCTAAAGGTCTCTACAGTCAACCAAAGACACTGGACTACTTTGATATGAACTAAAGATAAGATGTAGAAGGAAAGTATTAAGTCTTATGAGTTCCAATAAAGGTATCAATAAAGAATAATAGCCCTGTAAGTTATTTTCCTCTGAACAATGTTTTCTGAGAAATGGTTTCATCTGTCAGGAAATGACTGGCTGTCAAACCAAACCTATTTCAGATTAACTTCCTGTTTCAATACTGCAATACTGCCGAGATATTCCTCTCCCCATTCTAGACCCATACCAGACTGCATGACTACTGCTTTTTTTTGGCTAGGCAACTACTCTTGAGGGCATTTCTCCAACTAAAATTTTTTAAATGCTGTAGCTCCTTAGCAAGGAAAATGACACTAATGAAAATACTTCTGAAACAGGAGACAACGTAAAACTCACTCAATTGTAATGGGCAGACAATTAGCCTCATACAGCCAACTGCAACCATCTTTTACCTAGAAAGGTACATGATATACAACTAGTTTTAATGTACATGCTCTGCATATTACAGTTGAAGTGGGGCAAACCAACCCAAAGCATCTTTTCCGTAATGCAGAACAATCTCTGCATTTCCTCTTACAGACATACCATCTCAGATTTTAGACTGGCTTGTTTGCTGTATAGACTAACAAATCATTTTCTCTTGGCTACGGAGAAATAGAACATTTTTATTAAATTACATCACATGTTTTATAATATATTTAATTAGCATAGGAATAAGTGCTATTTCTAAAGACCTTCAGATATCAGAGGTCCAGGTTCTACCCCAACTGCTTTGAAGTTTTAGGTACCAAAATGTTAGAATGTCATTTATCATCTATTCCCTTCCAGGTCTCTTTCTAATTCCCACCACTGTCGAAGAAACAGTTATGACTCGTATTTGAAAACACACACATAAGATGCAACAGCAATCAGCTAAAAAGCTGTTTTGCTCTGTTCTCATAGAGCCTTGCTACTGGTACCCAGTTCTGTGGGCGTATCTTGGCAGTTCAGTTCAAGCCTTCTTTCTTTCAGGCACGCTAAAAACTGAGACATGCTTCCTGAGGCTCACTTGTTAAAGTTCATGTCAACTAGCATGTCACTCCTGAACCCAGGTACTACTTCAAGACTAGACTTATTCAACTGTCTCTTTGCTGTTATACTGGACCCACTGTTTACTACAGTTGCATCATTTCCTTCTGGACAATGGAGAATTTCAGGGCAGAAGTGTCCACTATTGTGAAAGACATATCATGACTAAGGAAAATTTTGGAAAAAAAAAACCAAAAACACAGCAACCATCAACTCACATCCCTACAGGAGATGACTACAAGCCAATCATCTAAGACATTACTGCAGGTATTCCAGATGCTACTGAAATAGTAGAAATTTATTTTAGAATCACAGGAAGATAACATACTTTAAAATTATGCTGCTCATTCTGTCTGCAGTTGTTACAAATAAACTAAATCCAAAGATGCGAGAAAGGACAAAAAAAAAAAGTGAGCACAACTTCTGTTACAAAAACCTCAGATGACAGACATAGGAATAGACTTTGGGTCTCAAGGATTCAAAAGCAATTTCCTGCCTTCTCTTCTTAAAACCTATCTCAACTTAGGTATGAAACAGAAAGTGAATGAAATGCGATCTGCTTTATCACAGGTAAGAAGCTAATGCTGTGCTCTAACAGGACAGTAAGCCTGAGACACGAGGTCTCACGCTGACCAACATGGGTTAAATAAGGTCTATCAGGGCACTCAGCTCCTGAGCGTATTCCGCTGGACACACAGCAGAAGCCGGTAAGCCTCAACTAACCTGAGGTATCACCTTCAGAGCTGCACGTTTCTCAGATAGGATGGTGATGGGAAACGCCATACAGACACAGCAAGGAGGGTCTGTGCTGAACTCTCATTTCATGATGGCACAGTATTTAGACTCAGCATTAAGCCAGAGTGGATTCTTTTGGTAGGAATAAACCGTACAAGTAAGCCTTCTGGCAACTGCCTAACAATCAACATGCAGCACTGCTATCTGAACAGCATGACTCACTTCGAGACCCTCTGTGCATAGTTTTGAGAAGTGCTATGCACATGCTGTTACCACAACTTTCAACTGGAAACAAGGACTTCAGCACTTCTCCAAAATACACAATAGGTATTCATGTCAGCCTCTCCAACAAAAAGCCCTAATGCATCAACTACTCTTCAAAAATTCTAGATCCAAAGACAATGGGATTATGAGAGATTTTGCTGCTCTGGGAAACCTAGTACAAAAGGACACGCAAACACTGAAGTTTTCTATAAAATACTGAAGTTGAAACAGGTTAAATCTGTATTCATTTTTCCCCTAGTCCTTCTGAAAGTGATACACGGTAGCTTTCTCTAGCTGTAATTATCTATCATTCATTTTTTGCTCATGTGTAAGGATACTGGATTAAAGTTCCTAAAGTAAACGCTTTTGAAAAAAATATTTCACATGCTTCAGTAGAAAATAAACTGGAAAACGTACTGCTGTAAATACAGAAAAGATACTTACATGGACTAACATCTCTGTATCTGTTTCGATTTCTGTTTTCTGGGTATTTTGCAACTCTATGAGGGTAGTCACTGGATTTATGTCGAATTTCCTTTAAAAGACAAAAATACAGTTTAATTCTAGCCACCAAGCACATTAAGGCTGATGTTCTGTACAACTTATCACAAGGCTTTCGAACTCAGTTATTTAATTGCAGTTATTAATACCATTACTGACTTTTAAAACAACTTCTACTACAGTTAATGCTATTTGCACTTAGAAAAACACATGGCATTCTTAGCCATACTGCTGTCATTTAGGTATTTTTACACTTGGTTAACATGCACAATTTGGTAAGTAACTGACACAGCAGAAACAAGGGGGGGGTGGGGGGAGGGGAAGGTGTTTCTTATGCCTACAGTTGAGCTAAGATTTGCAAGCTATTTCCCAGAAAAAGTACAAGTCTGAACCAAGAGTTGCACAGCTCTAGCTCCTTTACACCAGCTGGCAATGTAAACACCACAAAGAAAACTGAACTAGTTAGCTGCAGCAATAACATCATTAATAGCCACAGAATTATTACAGGTCTCTTGACAATTCACCTTGAACAGCCATCATTAAACATGAGCCTGTAAGAGAGAACAGCTCTGGACTCTCGAATGTCAGCTTGTATCAATACAAAAATCACAGCCTGCTCCTACTCACGGGTTAACACAAACCCTTTGATAATTTGCATTTGGAAGATATTTAAACACACTCATTTACACATCATTTTAAAGAAGTGATACTGCTTACATATTGTAAATGGAAAGGTTTTTCTGTTTGTTCCTAAAGCTTCTTCATTCTAATGAGAAGGTTTTTTTCCACAACTTTACCTTCAAACTAAGGAGGAGGTTTGTAAGCGTAAAAACACAGATAGTGTGCTATTGACAAGCAGCCTCTTATGGACTGACCGGTGTCTTTATATCCCTGTACTCAGCTGACGTACAGTGATATAAAATTAAAAATATTTTGGTGGGGTTTTTTTTCAGATGAAATTCCTATATGATATGATTGTACCCTAAGGAGAGCTTCCCTTTACAACAAAGCATTTTTGAACTTTCTCTGTGCTCCCACTAAAACAATTATCTTCGCAAGCTTATTAATCAGTTGAAATACTCTCATTCAAGGAACACAATGAAACAGGACTTTGGAAATCTAACAAATATAAAGAAGCTTCATTTTTTAACGTCTGCCGGATGCTGTGACTTATGAGGAATGATAATCTGTGAAAATCAATAGCTACAATATGGAGCAGCAAGTGTCCAAGCACCAATGCTCTACGTACCTCCACATAAATCACTCCATCTGTTACACAACCAAATTCTGATTTTGGTACAGAACAATGGAGCTCGTGTTCTCTTCTAGCTTATATGCCTTACAGCCTTTTGGAGTGTCTCCACACTCAACAATTAAATGGCAAGCATTCACAGCCAAACTCCCTCAAATGTAGGTTCTTTATTATTATCATCATCATCCTCCTCCTATAACGGGAAGCAATATGTTTTGTTTTAAAAAGCACAGGCATTTTCTGTGCTCAGAAACAGACTATAATTTCACAAATATTCCAAGCTTTTATCACAAGCCTAGGAAGATTCAAGGAATTGAAGGGCAAACACAGGTTTCGGCAAGAAGAATTAAGAAAACCCTAACATTCAGCTGGATTTTTTCTTCAGGAAACACATGCCTCTCATGACAAGCAAGTGTGTGTCCTATACAACGCAGCCATAGCTAAATACCATCCTAAATAAGAAGTCAGTATATTGGAGTGGGTCCAGAGGATGGCCATGAAGATGCTCAGAGGGCTGGAGTACCTGAGGCTGAGGGAGTCGTGCTTGTTTAGCCTGGAGAAGGCTCTAGGGAGACCTCACTGAGGCATTCCACTATTTATAGGGATATCATAAACAGGAGGGGACCAACTTTTTACATGGCCCGATAGTAACAGGACACGGGGGAATGGCTTTAAAATAAAAGGTGAGAATTAGGTTAGGTGTGAGGAGGAAGTTCTCCGCTCAGAGGTGCTGGCACAGCTGCCCAGAGAAGCTGTGGTGCCCCATCCCTGCAGGCGCTCAAGGCCAGGTTGGATGGGGCCCCGGGCAGCTGAGCTGCTGGGGGGGCAGCCCTGCTGATGGCAGGGGGTGGGGTGGGTGGGCTATGAGGTTCCTTTCAATTCAAACCATTCCGTGATACTGTGATAATTTAACTGAGGAAAAAAATCCTGCTTGAGTTCAGGAAACTGAACTTCGCTTTGCATCTCTCTTCCTCACTTGGGAGAGCAACGCAGCACGCGCCCTAGCTCAGGCACTATCTGTAAGAGCACTTCACAGGCGCTGCCCGCAGCGACAGGCCCGGACCGCCTCAGCCCGGCGGAGGACGGCCGTAACAGCCGGCTGGGCCGGGTCAGCCCGCCCGCCTCAGCCCAAACCCCGCTCCTCAGCCGCCGCACATGCGCGGGCGCCGCTCGCACGCACGCTGCCGGCCGGCGCGCAGGCGCAGCGGCAACGGCCCCACGGCGACGCCTGCGCGCTGCCCCTCCGCACCCCTCCCCGCAAGGGAAGGGAAAAGGAAAAGCCAAGCGAGGCCCGGGAGCATGCGCGCCGCCCGCACGCAGTTTCGCTGCGTGCACCTGAGAGCGGGTCGCGCCCCTACAACTTCCGCTCCGCCGAGCCTCCGCGTAACGGCGACGGCGCACCGCGGCCCTCGCCCCGTCGGGCGATCGAACCCCTTGTCCCCTCACCAGATAGCGCGCCTGCCAGTCGTTCGTGGCGTCGATCTCCTGGAACTCCCGCTCGATGACGGCGGACATGGCGGCGGCCGGAGCAGAACGGCAGAACCGCCGCCCGCCAGCCCAGCTCCCGCGCGCTGCCCGCCCTGCCGCCGCCGCGCGCGCACATACACTCGCGGCGGCTCCCGCGACGGCCGGGCGCATGCGTAGCCCCGCCCCGCCCAGCGAGGGCGGCCCAGGCCACGCCCACGGGGAGCAGAAGGAGGAGTGAGCACCTGGGAGATGGGGCGCCGCCCGCAGGTGGCCGCGAGGCCTGGCTGCGCCGCGCGGGAGAGGGGCAGGCGGGCGGCGGCGCTTTCTTATGACGTCACCGCGGATGTCGGCCGTCGGAGAAGACCGAAGCGGGGCTTTAGCGGCCCCTCGGCTCCGCCGCCCCCTGGTGGTTACCCCGGCACATTCGTTGGCCACGCCCCTTCTGCGTTAGCCACGCCCCCTTCTGTGTTAGTCACGCCCCGCTCCGCCGCCGGCTTACAGCGCGGCCTGAGGAGGCTGTCACAATCAGTGCGGCCGGGGCGTGGGCGGGTTGAGGATCTGCCGCCTTCCGCGGTGTGCGGGGAGGCGGGGACACGGGGCACTGGGCACCGAGCGGCTGGTCAGGCTCTGTGAAATAGGCTTCACCATGCCAGTGTGGAGTTGTAGGTGTCCCTGTTGGTTGTTGGGCCGGGTGACCTTTAAAGGTCCCTTCCGACTCAGACAATTCTGTGACTGATTCTGACTTTGAAAGATATTTAGGAAATCCTCTCCTGGGTCTTGAGGGCGAAGCTGGGAGGCTCTCTGCTTAGTCTGTGGGATCATTTGTGCAGTAAGTAAGTAAGTCATTATGTTTTGATTAAAGAAAGATGAATCTGCCCATCCTGAAGGTAATGATTATTTTAAATTTAAAAAAGAAGCAAACAAAAGGTGTTTGTCACCTCATAAAAGTGTGATCTTCCAGAGGCTGGGTGTAGGAAAATAAGTTGGTAGGTAGAAACCATCTGCCAAGTAGCATGTTTTAATAAAGAAGCAAAAACACACAATGCCCTCACTGATTGAAGCCTTCAGTACACTTGCTCTCTGGATACGAATTTTTGATATGAAACTGCTCTGCGTTTGCAGTACTTGTTATTAAGGCAAAACGTCCCTTTTCTCCACTCACTGGAGCTGACTCCGCCCAGACATCACAGAATATCCCGAGTTGGAAGGGATAAGGACCATCAAGTCCAACTCCCAGCTCCACACAGCACCACCCAAAAATCAGACCACGTGTCTGAGAACATGGTCCAGATGCTTCTTGAACTCCAGCACTCGGGGCCATGCCCACTGCCCCGTGCAGCCCGTTCCATGCCCACCACCCTGTGGTGCAGCAGCTGTCCCTAACCCCCAGCTGCCCTCCCCTGACACAGCTCCATGCCGTTCCCTCGGGCCCTGTCGCTGTCACACACTCAGCGCTGCCCCTCTGCTCCCTGCGAGGAGTTGCAGCCGCCATCAGGCCTCCCCTCAGCTCCTCTGCTCTGTGCTGAGCACACCCCGGGACCTCAGCTGCTCCTCATACACTTTCCCCCTCTAGACCCTTCTCTACCTTTGAAGCCCTCCTTTGGACACTCTAATATTTCATGTCCCATGAGTCTGCTGCACACAAACTTGCACACGGAACTCGAGGCGATACTCAATGCATCCATGCTGCCATGAAGCCACCCTGCATGGCCACAGCTGAAGGAAGCCCAGGTGCTGCCCTGTCAGTGCAGAGAACAAAGAGTGCCGTTGTCCAGTGAGGTGGTGCTTCCTCTTTGTTCTAGTGCAAAGGCCCAGAAAGCTTGGAGGCCAACTCCCTGCAGTGTGTGGGATGTCCTGCTTGTCTCCAAAGACAAGCCCACCAGGAGCACTGTGTGTGCTGAGTAGGCCACTGAGACACTGGTATATTTTGAGAAGAATGCAGGAGAAATGTAGGTTTGTTAAGTAAATGTACATTAACTGGCAGCTGTAGTGCACATTAGAAGCTTCTATTTGTCTTGAGGAACTACATCCCCAGATTTCCATTGGAAAAGCAATGTAATTGTATTACTAGGAGGAGGGGGGTTGTGGCAGCAAGTTATGTTTAGAATCTGTAGGCAAATTGGTGCCTGGAGGCAGCTTATGTAAAAATAAATATTTATTAATTGCTGTTTAAATCTGTCTTAGAACAACAGTAATTGGCAAAACATGGTTTTCTGGAGAAATTGCTATTGTTTGCTCTTTGCTTGTTATTTTTTATTGCAAATACTCTGAAAATGTTGTACCAGTTCATTGTTTTTTGGGAAATGAGCCCAGTGTAGGCCCAGGACTACACTGTGGAGGATATATTGGTCTGTGGAGGAAAACCGTATATACAAAAGAAACCACGTACACTCATTAGTAAACTTGATTCACTCGGTTGCCAATAATATACTCCAGCTCCCTACTAGGAGATGAACTGCAATATAAACTCTTAAACACTTGAAATAGCATGAGACATAGGCAAAGCTGGATAATAGAGTTGCTGGAATGTGGTATATTAGTGTTTTCTGTCTGAGCAAGTCATTATTGTAATGTTTCCTCATTAAAATGTCTGATAATTGGAGAAGCCCCTTACTGCGCTGGCGGACAGATACTCACCCCAAGGTAGTTCATATCCACAGCAGTTCTAATGTCAAAATTGGTTTTCGTGCTCTCCATCATCTGCATGAAAAGGACCACTGAAGTTAACTCTGAATGTTGTTTATCCAGTGACCTTGAACCAACAATTAAGTTTAGTACCACTCCAGAATGGACTAAGTGCTTGTTCCTTCACACACCCATTTGGTTTTTTTGGGTCATTCACTGGAAATTACCCAAGTATCACTTATCGGAAATGATCTGTTCTGTGCTGCTTTTCTGAGAACCATTTTGGATATTAGTAGATGAAGAACAAATTCTTCCCTGAGGTGACTTTATTCACAGATGCACTCCATACCAATGTTAGCTGCTAAGAAATAAAGCTATAATGTACTTAAGCTCACCACGATGTGAGAGCAGGAGTACATATAATTCCTGATTTAAGTGTTATAGCCCATGGCCCAGGAAAGAAAAGCTTCCTTCCCTCAAGAAGAGGATAGAATCTGGAAGGGCTGGGCACTCTTTTGGCATCTGCTAGAGAGAATAAAAAGATGAATAAAATGGTCCTGTGATCAAAATGAAATGAATTTCATTGATTCTTTGCATGTACAGTGGAACTTTACTATTTCAGACTTTGGAGTACTGTATCCCTTGTTCAAATGAGCATTAAAGCTCCTTTTACTGAAAATGTTTGCCAGTTTTCCAGCTGCACTATTGATTTCCTCCACCTACTCTAAGTAGTATTTTGGCATACAGCAAAAGAAAACAATACTTAAAAAACTTGCATAGCAAAATACAAAACCTTACAGCAGCAGTAGCAGCAGAATCACAGGACCCTAGCAGGTTTGCATTCAGCTGAGGGCATCTTAAGGGATCAGTCATAGATCCACAGCAGTGGGATTTTGTTGGCCAATGTCTACTAAAAGATGGTTGTGTAGTAACAGGGATGGAATTAATGGAAGCCATAACTATGCTGTGAAGACAAGGATGACACATTTATGTGTAGAATAAATGATTGCCCTAACACTATGGTTTGGAGTTCTGTGTAGAAGAAATTCATGGCCAAGGAAGAAAGGAAAGATTAAGGTCTATTTAAAAGACATGTTTCCTAGTGCAGAGATTTGTGCCAGTCTGCATGGCACTGGATTCCTACAGTGAAGCTCAAATGATTGTGGAATGTGAAAAGGAAATTGCAGCTGGCAGAAGTGCTGTCACGAGTGAATGGACACTGGTTAGCGGAAAAGGGAGCCAGCCAGGATGTCTGATGGGCAGAGACTTCAGACTGCTGTGGCTTTGTGAAACAACTCTTCCAGCAACCTAAGCTGGGATGTGCAGTCAGCCACAAAACCTAATGTCTATGAGTCAGTGCATGGGGTGCAGGGTATGGCTACAGGAAGAGGAGAATGGTCAGCTGCCAAGAGAATGATGACTCCAAGTTATTGTTTATCTTGCTTGAAGAGGGGATCTTACTTGCTGGGGCTAGTTTATATTTGTCAGTTGATCTTCTGTCCCTCTTTTCAGCCCTAACTACAGTGCTATTTATCAAAATCACAGTTTGCAGGTAAGGAAGTCTAATGCAGTGAGTGTCCAGGGTAGCTTGATGTCATTCTACCTTAAAAGATCATGAAATTACCATCTGAAAAATTTTACCTGATCTTTGTTTGTGTTAGTTGAGCCTCCTGAAACTGCACTTAAATTTAAAGCATGGGGTTTTTAAAAGGAAAGTGCATAGTCTATCTATAGAAACAGCCTACAGCTGACATAAAGGTTTCATGCTGCAAGTTTACAGAGAGTTGGAATTGCTGAAAGGCCACCAGTTTATCTGGCTTTGAAATTATTTCCTCCACAGATTGCATAGGGCTGCTACATGCTTTTACCACTTCTAACTTCACAGTTATTATTCCAAAGCATCACTTTTCATTACTTTATAAAGGTTACAGAGGTGCTTAAACTGCAGTTTTGGGAACAGCATTATGTTGCCCAGCAAGTCTTGAATTCATATTCTTTCCCAATTTTGTAATGACGTTATCATGATCTTCTAACATGTCTATAGCACAGATTCTGTACCATAGTGGCTTATTGCAGGATTATACATGTATTTTCATCTGCATTCAAGCTTATGTTCCACATTACAAAATTAAGGACATTCTCTGAATTACAGCTGAGAAGATTGACGTGCACAACTCATACCACTGCTATTTGCTAGAATAAGTTCTTCTAAGAAATGATGTTTTGGCAGAAGTTTGTACTAAGGAATACTGGTAAATGTTTCTGTTATAAATTTGTGTTCTCAATTTTGTGTTCCAGTTTGCCTTTTGGTTTCCCAGCATCTGAACATACCAATTATGCCTAATTTTGTGGGTGTAAAAGTTTCCAAATTGTGTTTCCCTCTGTTTTTTTGTTTTGTTTTGTTTTTTGTTTTTTTTTTAATAGTTTGAAATAGTCATAAAAGTCTTTCTGGCAATGTGATTTAAAGTTGTAATTCATTTTGATTTTTTTAATGTTATTGCATTAGACAATCTGAAGTGCCA